AAAAAGATCTCAGGGGTGTAGACATCAGATTGGCAGTGGTGATTAGTTTTCCTGGGAGAGACCTCGGCCCAGAGAAAGACAAAGGGACACATTTTAAATGAGGAGAATATTGGCATTTTGTATAATTAAAAGTTAATAAAAGTAGGGTGGGCCCAGGGCGTAGGCTTGTCGTTCTAATACTTTGGGAGGCCGATCACCTGAGATCAGGAGTTCGAGACCAGCCTGGCCAACATGGCGAAACCCCATCTTTACTAAAAATACAAAAATTAGCTGGGTGTGGTGGTGCATGCTTGTAATCCCAATTACTTGGGCGGCTGAGGTCACAGAATCATTTGAACCTGGGAGGTGGAGGTTGCAGTGAGCCAAGATCTCGCCATTGCACTCCAGCCTGGGAGACAGAGCAAGGCTCCATCTCAAAAAAAAAAAAAAAAAAATTAATAAAAATAAAAGTAACCTATGGTTATTATTGGAAAAGACAGTTAATACTGGGACATTGTAATTTAAAAATCACCTGTTATTCCCCGTCTCCCTTCCCTGACCCCAGTAATGACTCCAAGCATTTTGGCATTAATTCTTCTGGGTGATTTTCTACAGATGGATAGAAAGATGGAGACAGGGAGTTATCTTGTTTTTTTAACCAAAATTGGGTCAGGCCATATAAACCATTCAGAAATGTCAGTTTTTTTCTTTTGTGAGTCAGGTGTGTGTGCTGATTTTTGCCAGTGTGAAGATTTCATCCGCTCATAAGCAGGCTAGCTTTTTCCATGAGTAGATCCCGTGCACCTGCCCCAGCTGATGTGTGTTTTCTGTTCTCAATTTGCTGTCCGCTCTCTGGGCTGAAGCCTTGCTCTTTGGAACAGTGTTTCTCAGCCAGGGTGTGGTAAATGAGAAGCTTCTCGGGTTTTTCCCTGGACTACACCCAAACCCTTGACACCTGCTTCCCATTCCCCGTGAGAAACCATCACTCCACGTTTGGGAATGGAGGAAGAATTGAAAATTCTTATTTCACTTGTTGAGACAGGGTCTCGCTGTGTTGCCCAGGCTGGTCTGGAACTCCTAGCCTCAAGCAGTTTCCCACTTCCCCACTTTGGCCTCCCAAAGTGCCGTGGTTACAGGTGAGAGCCACTGTGCCCCGCCAGAATCCTCATTTTAGAGCAACTCTTTAAAACCTCATCATGTCCTGGAATCACCCGGCAGTTTTTTGTGATTGTGGTGGTTGTTTTTGTTTTTACCAATACAGATGGACTCCTGGCTCTGCCCCTCTCCTCTCTTATTAGAAGTTGGCAGTGGTGATAGGAGTTTTTGAAAGGGGTTCCCTGGAAGATTCTGGGAACACCTCAGTTAAGAGCCACTCCTGACCAGCCTGACCAACATGGAGAAACCCCGTCTCTACTAAAAATACAAAATTAGCCAGGCATGGTGGCACATGCCTGTAATCTCAGCTACCTGGGAGGCTGACGCAGGAGAATCGCTTGAACCTGGGAGGCAGAGGTTGTGGTGAGCTGAGATCACACCATTGTACTCCAGCCTGGGCAACAAGAGCGAAACTCCGTCTCAAAAAAAAAAAAAAAAAGAAGTCACTCCTTTGGAGCGTGCATCTGAAAACAGCCGGCCAGAGCATGTGGAACTTGCTTTCTGTGGTGCACAGGGCCACCCAGCCAGGCCAGAAATGTCCCCTGAGAACCAGCTGCAAGTTGTGTGTGTCGGCAGCTTGGGGTGGAAGCAGCCAGGTGTAAGGGAACATGTTTCAGACCGCTCCGACTCCCTCGGTGAACCTGGGCAGGTCCGTTCACCCTCTGGGCCTCTGGGAGCAGAGACTTGTTGCCTGACTGAGGGCTGGGCTGAGGATCTGACCACACTGGAGGCAGGTACTGGGGCCGTGACAGAGCGCAGTATGTGGGTAAGGGATTGTTAGTTTCAGAGCATTGGGAGACATAGCACCTTCTACTAGGTTGCAAAGATCCACCATCTTTCTTTCAGTGTCCTTTTGCTCCCTCTTGATAGTAATAAACACTGAACATTTTTTTTTTTTTTTTTAGAGGCAGGGTCTTGCTATGTTGCCCAGGCTGGTCTCAAACTCCTGGGCTCAAGTGATCCTCCTGCCTCAGCCTCCCGAGTAGCTGGGACTATAGGCACGTGCCACCGTACCCTAGTACTCCAATGGACACCTGTTGGACATTTATGTGTGCCAGGCACTGATAAGTATGTTCACATATATTAGCACTCTTAGAATTCTCCAGCATTCCTGGGAGTAGGTGGTATCATGCATCCCCATTGTACAGATTTGAAAATTAAAGTTCAGAGGTCAAGTGGCTCAGGTTACACTTGCTGGTGATACTGAAAGGATTCAGATCCAGGTTTCTTCTGGCACCCAAATACAGGCTCTTAACAACTGTTCCATCTCAATTACAGAGCTCTGAAATATCTGGGTTCTCAGCAGTGTCATGACTTGCTGGTTTGAGTATATCATTCATCTATTCAACGTGTATTACCCAGCACTTAACCCTTGCCCCAGGTTTCCTGACACATACACACCCAATCCCATCTCCCGGTCCCTTGAGAATTTGGCCCAACGCTCAGGGAGGGATTTGTAAAGGGAAGCTGGCCAGACAGGTTCTGCCTCCTCGGTGTCTCAGAGGGACGCGGCCCAGGTTCCTGCACATCCCCCGCCTGCCTTACCCACCCCTTCTGCCCAGGGAGTGCCTCACATTTACAGGTTCTGTTCCTGATGATTCTCTTTTGGAGGAGGGAAGTATTTTGGGGGCTAACTTAGTACTCCTTTGATTTTGGTTTTATACAATGGAAGGTGAAACCTAGGACCTTGTGTGATTGAGACAACATTCTGTGTGTGTGTGTTTTAAGACTACCTTTTTTTTTTTGAGACAGGGTCTCACTCTGTCATGCAGGTAGGAGTGCAGTGGTGTGAGCACAGCTCACTGTTGCCTCAACCTCCCGGGCTCAAGCGATCCTCCTACCTCATCCTTCCGAGTAGCTGGGACCACAGGTGTGCGCCACCATGCCTGGCTAGTGTTTGTACTTTTTGTAGAGTTAGAGTTTTGCCATGTTGCCCAGGCTGGTCTCAAACTCCTGGGCTCAAGTCATTGGCCCACCTCAGCCTCCCAAAGTAGCTGGGATTACCGGCATGAGCCACTGCACCCGGCCTTAACACTACTGTTAATTAAGCACTTACTACCTGCCAGGTGCCGTGCCAAAAAGTTTACATCCCTTATTTAACTTTACCTTCGTGACAACCCTGTGAAGAGGCGCTGTTGTTATCCCTGTTTTACCAAGGTGGGAAACAGTTCAGGCAGCTTCAGTCACATGGCCAGTAAATGGCACAGTTGGGACTCAAACCCAGGTCTGCCTAAAGCCAATAAATAGACTTGGGTGTGGTGTTCAGACAATAAATTCATGTCCACCCATGCTCCGATCGCAGTGACGAGTTGATTTTCTGTATTCTGTTTATAAAGCACCTGAGGCCCTCTCACCCACTTGTGTTTGCTTGTTTGCCTGTGGGACAGAGCAAGGTGATGTCACAGCGCCCACCCCAGAGCAAGTGGAGAAGCTGAAGGAGGTTGCGGGCTTGCCTGACGACTGTGCCGTCACCGAGCGCCTGGCTGTGCTGGCCTTTCTTTACTTATACCTGTCCATCTTCCGGAAGCAGAGGTGTGTGCGTGGTCTGGGGAAGGAGTCCAGATGCCGCCTCCTGTGGGGAAGCAGGAAGGGTTTCTGTCGTTGCTGCTGGAGAGTGCACATACTCCTTCTAGAGCGGCCACCATTTTCTGTCCTCACCTTGCCAGACGTAGTATAATGACATGCCTTTTTTTTTTGAGACAGGGTCTCTCTGTCGCCCAGGCTGGCGTGCAGTGGTATGATCTCAGCTGACTCCAGCCTCGACCTCCCAGGCTCAAGTGATCCTTCCACCTCAGCCTCCCAAGTAGCTGGGAGTACGGGTGTACACCACCACACCTGGCTAATTTTTAAATTTTTGTAGAGATGGAGTCTCACTATGTTGCCCAGGCTGGTCTCAAACTCCTGGGCTCATGTGATCCAACTGCCTTGGTCTCTGAAAGTGCTGGGATCACAGGCATGAGCCACCACACCTGGCCCCAGCCTCTTTGTTGTTGTGTTTTTTTTTTTTTTTTTTGTCCAGAACCCAACGGGTAACCTCCAGGGACAGCCCTTCCCTTGAGCAGCAGATTCGGGTTTAGGGGCCAGGCTCTGTGCCGAGGACACATTTGGAAATGGCCTGATACTTACTGTCTGAGGCAGAATTTCAGCTTGAGAGAGGCGTGTCCCCTTAAGTGGGTGAGGGACATTTCAGAATCTTCCAATCTGGGTGGGGTGAGTGTGTGGAATTTGAAGACACACATTCAGTATTGCAATTTTTATATTTGGGAAATGGGAGAAGTACTTTGCGGAAATTACCAAACATGAACTTTGACAGTTCTCACTGGGAGGAAATACACGTAAGACGTAGCGATTCAGAACTTTTGATCAAAAGCAGACTGTGTGACACATGGTTGGGGAACACTGTCTGGCAGGAGAGGCCCCCGGTGAACACACAGTCCTAGCATGCTGTGACGAGGCAGTGGTGTGGAGGGCACGCAGGGGGTCCTACAAGGGGAGCCAGGAGTGGTCTTTGTAGGTAGCTAGGGAAAGTGTCACAGTGGAAGCGACATGTGGTAAGGCCTTGAAAGATGGGCGGGGATTTCTCTGGGGGATAAGGAGGTATAAGGCTATTGCAGGCTGAGGGGCCAGGCTGTGCTCAGAGCAGGACCACAGAAAAGCCCAGCATGTGGGCGTGGGAAGGAGGAGGGAGAAAGGGGCTGACGGCTTGCCAGGTGTTTCTGGGAAGGGCCCTAGTTGGATGACCCAGGGATTAAACCTGGTACCTGTTTTCTAGTTGTCTGATTCACCATGAGTTCCTGATGTTCAGTAGGGCCACATTTGGGGTCAAGAAGTGTCTCCCAGTTGAGAAAAGTGGACCGGATGCTTGGAGTCAGGCCTGGGCCTGGCCCCCGGTTCAGTGCTGGCACCCTCCGCCCTGCAGGAGAGTCACGTTTTGTGCCTGGTGTGTTTCAGGACCCTGCCGAGCCTGGATGTGGTAGTGTGGTCGGAGCTGCCCCCCGGGGCGGGCTTGGGCTCCAGCGCCGCCTACTCGGTGTGTCTGGCAGCGGCCTTCCTGACCATGTGTGAGGAGATCCCAAACCCGCTGAAGGATGGGGAGCACATCAACAGGTACCCGTGGTTCTAGCCTCGCCAGTGTCCCTCCCGAGCGCAGGACAGGGGGAGCGGGGCTTCTCTGGCTCAGACCTTACCACCTCCCTGTGACGTGAGAGGTGTCATAGTAGCCATTTTACAGATGAGGAAGCTGAGGCCTGAGAGGCCAAATCGCTCGCCCAGGGCCCCACAGCTAGTGCTGGCAGAGCGGGATGTGAACTCAGAGTCCGAGCTTTTCCTCCTGCTCTCCACCACCTCTGCTCACCCCCGTCTTGGCTCTGTTGGGTTCAAGCGTCCATGGTATGGTAGAAAGAGCTGGGGTCCAGAGCTGGAGGGTGGCGGGTTAGGTGAACCCCACTTCTGTACTGACTCACCCTAGGACAGTGGCCTGGAAACCCCCAGAGCCTTCGTGCCCTCCTCTGTGTGGTGATGGCAGTGCCCTACGGGTGATTGCTCAGTTTTCCCACACGGCTATGAAAGAAGCTACAGTGAGCTGAGAGCTCCATATGGGGGGTGTGTCCATGAGACCAGGGCGCCACTCCTCCTACAGGGCGTGTCACCTCTCTGCGTTCCTGCTGGTGGGGAATCACGTGACTCAGGCCTGTCAAGACAGGCTTGACCGCAGAATCTCTCATTAGGAGAATGCCCCTCGGGAAACCATCCGGGGCACAGAGGTGGTGCAGTCTGTCCTGGGACAGGAGCTGTGGATGGGGCCCCCAAATACAGAGCTCTGCCTCCTCCTAGGCTGGGTTTTTTATTTTGTTTTCTGAGCTTGGTTTTTTTTGAGATGGAGTCTTGCTCTGTCACCCAGGCTGCAGTGCAGTGGTGTGATCTCAGCTCACTGCAACCTCTGCCTTCCAGGTTCAAGTGATTCTCCGCTGGCCAACAGACTGGCCTTGCCTTTCAAAAGGCAGAGGGTGACTGTGCGTGCGTGCGTGCGTGCGTGCGTGTGTGTGTGTGTGTTTATGCTGTTTCTAACCATTCTCCACCTTCCCCTGAAGGCCAGTCACTGCTTCTCAGAACCCTTGCGGAGAGCAGACCCCCCACCCCACCCCACCCCACCCCACCCCACCCACCATGTGTTTCTGAGTCAGAAAGGACTGGAGCCCAGTCTCCTTTGAAGATTCTAATCTGAGCCCCCTAAAAAACAAACTGTGCCCTAAAAAACAAACACATTTGTTGAGGGGGCCAGGCCTTGGGCTAGGTCAGCTGCCTGAGTTACCTTCCCCCACCTCCATTGCTTGCTTCTTTCCCAGGCATGCTGCCACCTGTCAGTCCCTGGAAAGGGCCAGCCAGCTCTGGTGTGGTTCCACAGCTGCACAGGCTGGCCGCTGTATCTGGAACGCACCCTCCCACACCTTGTCTACCTGGCTCCCCTTGTCCTTCAAGCCCCCCTCCCCTAATTCAGCCCGCAGCACTCTTACAGAAACACCTGCCTTGTAGTCACATATTTCAGTGTCATGTATTTGTTTGTATTTGAATATTGATTGCTTACTGACCTTCACTTTCTCCATTAGACTCTAAGCTCCAAGAAGTCAGGGACCTTGTCTGTTTTGCGTCCTATTGGGAGCTTAGTCACAGGCACCTAGTAGGTGCTTAATAAATACTGAATAAGTGAGTGTATCTTGTTGGTGCCATTAAGTTAGTAGCTAAGAGCTTGGGCTCCAGGTCAGCAGATGTGGTTCTGATATAGCAGTGAGTAGCACTGTGATCTCCAGGATGCTGTTTTACCCATCCAAGCCTCAGTTTCCACTTCTGTAAGAAACAGGATAATAATTGTACCTTCCCTGTAGGGTACAATTGGGAGGATTATGGACCATTTCTCAACTGTCCATTTGAAAAAGCATTTAGCACAATGTTTGGCACATGTTAATTAGTGGTATGTTCACTGATGTTAACTCATTTTTTTTTTTTTTTTTTTGAGATGGAGTTTCACTCATGTTACCCAGGCTGGAGTGCAATGGCGCGATCTCGGCTCACCGCAACCTCCGCCTCCTGGGTTCAGGCAATTCTCCTGCCTCAGCCTTCTGAGTAGCTGGGATTACAGGCACACACCACCATGCCCAGCTGATTTTTTGTATTTTTAGTAGAGACGGGGTTTCACCATGTTGACCAGGATGGTCTCGATCTCTTGACCTCATGATCCACCCGCCTCGGCCTCCCAAAGTGCTGGGATTACAGGCGTGAGCCACAGCCTCACAGCTACCATGTGAGTTGCAAGTCCATACAAATCCTATTTGACAGATGAGGAAAGAGACTCAGCAGGTAATTGACTTGCTCAGGGCTCCACAGCAAGTAAGTGATTGAATCAGGCACTGTGACCCCAGACGCCCTGTTTTGGGGTGAGCACATCCTGTCTCCTGGTCATTATACAAAGCACTTGTGTGTTTTTTCCATCTCAGTATCCTCAGTGAGACAGACACTATTAGCCCTGTTTGTTCTTTTTTTTGAGATGAAGTCTCTGTAGCCCAGGCTGGAGTGCAGTGGCACAATCTCAGCTCACTGCAACCTCTGCCTCCTGGGTCCTGGTTCAAGCAATTCTCCTACTTCAGCCTCCCAAGTAGCTGGGATTACAGGCACAAGCCACCATGCCCAGCTAATTTTTGTATTTTTACTAGAGACGGGGTTTCACCATGTTGGCCAGTCTGGTCTTGAACTCCTGACCTCGTGATCTGCCTGCCTTGGCCTCCCAAAGTGCTGGGATTACAGGTGTGAGCCACGGCGCCTGGCATATTATCTCTGTTTTATGGATGAGAAAACTGAGGGTCTGAGGTGAAGAGGTTGCTCACAGATTCCCAGTGAGTCAGTGGTGGGATGGGCTTCAAAACAGGTTCACTGGCCGGGCACAGTGGTGCCACGCCTATAATCTCATCATTTTGGGAGGCTGAGATGGGCAGATCGCTTCAGGTCAGGAGTTCGAGACCAGCCTGGCCAACATAGTGAAACCCCGTCTCTACTAAAAATACAAAAATTAGCCAGTCGTGGTGGTGGGTGCCTGTAATCCCAGCTACTTGGGAGGCTGAGGCAGGAGAATCGCTTGAACCCGGGAGGTGGAGGTTGCAGTGAGCTGAGATTGCACCACTGCACTCCAGCCTGGGTGACAGAGCAAGATTCCATCTCAAAAAAAAAGAAAAAGGAAAAACAAAACCATGCTCACTGCTTACTCCATAGCTCTGCCACTGAGCCATGTCATTCTCAGAGGTCACAGAAACACCTTTAGCTTCTGCTGTTTCACAAGGAAGGAATCTGCAGAAAGGAAGCAAAAGCAGAGAGAAAAGAATGGGGAAGTGGGGCTGGTCATTTTGCCGTGTCCCATACTCGTGTTTTGGGTCTGTTCACTTAAACTGTGAGCCCACACCTGGTCTGTGGAAGGCTGCGAGGCCGTGTGCTTGGGAGAGATCCAGACGTGGCTGGGATCAGCCTGGCTCCCCCAGGGGTGTCTGGGGCTCCTGGGGTTCGAATTCATAATGATGGTGCTTTGGATCTATTTTCAGGGCCCTGGGAAACAGTCACACCTCTGCCCGCTCTTCTTAAAGGCAGGCTTGCTTCAGGCGTGGGCGCTTATGCAGAGGTCTGTTATAGTGGCAGTTCCCACCCACTGCTTGTGGACACCTTGCCATCATTAGACACATGCAGCTAGCCTCTGAGGAGGGTGGGGTTCCCATGATCCAGGGAGGAGAGTGAGGCTCAGAGAGGTTAGATAATGGGCCCAGAGTCACTCAGCTAGTAAGAGGCAAAGAAGGGGCCAGGCACAGTGACTCGCGCCTGTAATCCCAGCACTTTGGGAGGCCGAGGCAGGCCGATCATGAGGTCAGGAGTTCAAGACCAGCCTGTCCAATATGGTGAAACCCCCTCTCTACTGAAAAATACAAAAATTAGCTGGGCGTGGTGGTGCACACCTGTAATCCCAGCTACTGGGGAGGCTGAGGCAGGAGAATCGCTTGAACCTGGAAGGCGGAGGTTGCAGTGAGTTGAGATCGCACCACTGTACTCCCGCCTGGGCAACAGAGTGAGACTCCATATCAAAAAAAAAAGAGGCAAAGTAGGACCACGAGAGTCCAAAGCCCGGGCTCTTTCAACTGCGCCTGGTGGGCTTCAGAGGGAAGGGCAGGTTTAGCATGCTCCGTAGCTAGAGAGGTTCAGCGTAGACTTGTTCTTTCTGCACTCAAGGGCACACGCTCCTATGCCCCTTGGCCTCCCCTAGCACGGCCTTCAGCCCCTGCCCTCGGCTGCCCCCGGTGGCCCTCCCCAGCCCCACTCCTCACTGCCACAGTAAAGACGAACATCTGTGTCTTCAGGTGGACCAAGGAGGATTTGGAGCTCATTAACAAGTGGGCCTTCCAGGGGGAGAGAGTGATTCACGGGAACCCCTCCGGAGTGGACAATGCTGTCAGCACCTGGGGTAGGCGCTGCCTTCAGTTTATTTTATTTTTGTTATTTTAAAAATTCTTATTACAATGGTAGGTGCCCAGGTGTCTATGCTGGTTTGGTAGGAAAAAAATCAATGGATTCCGGGAAAATAACATTTTTCTATTTTGGGGGGAATGGAGAGAAATCTTGGGGCCCTGCCTCATACCCCATGAATCAGAATCTCTGGGGTTGGGACTGAGGCCTGGGAAGCCGCAGCTTCCGCAAGCTCCCCAAGGGCGTTGCGGGTTCAGGCTGCAGAGCCACTGCTGTGGAGTTTGCAGACCACACAGGTGGCCTCCCAGATGCCGAGTCCTGGGCCCTGCCTTCACCATGTGGCCTGTCGGGGGATGCTGGGCAGCCTGTAGGGAGGGGACCCAGGAACCCAAGGCCTGGTGAGAGCTTCCTGGTGGGGCTTCGGGGGCCTTTTGCCCTCCTGCACCTTCTGTAATTGAAGCTGGGCTGACTCATTACTTAGCTTCTTTCCTGTAGGGGGCAAAACAAACCCAACCCAAAGTTCAACCCAATGTGTTAGCTTTTCCCACGGCTCTGACCCACTGGTTTTTCTCTTTAGGAGGAGCCCTCCGATACCAACAAGGGAAGATTTCATCCTTAAAGAGGTAACTTGGGGGTGGAGCCACACATTCAGCGGTGGCGGCATCCATGTGTCCAGGGTGCAGAGCTCTGCACATTTGGGAAGTACTGTAGGAGGCAGGTGTTCCTGGCTGTCTGTCCCCTGATGTGGCCCTCATAGCCCACAGCTGCAAGGAAGCAGGGGGCGGTGGGGAAGACCTGGCAGTTGGTCTTCCTTCTCCCCTTCAGCTCTTAAACTGCAGAGAGATAAGAAAGGGAAAGTCATGCAAGGCTGAGCGCGTGGACCCTCAGCTGCTCATTCCTTCATTCTTGTATTTGCTTAGTGAACAAGAACCCATTGCTTCTTGTGTTCCTGATGCTGCTGCCCTGGGCGTAGGATTGGAAAGATAAGGCATGGGTACTGTTTCTAAGGGCTCTCAGTCTGCTTGGGGAGTGGGGACAGATACATACAACAGCACCACAGGCAACATGAGTCACCATGATGGAGGCACGCAGGGCAGAGGCAGGACAGAAGCCCGAGGGAGGCTTGGGAGGGGCTCAGGGCAGAAGTGACATTTGGAGACTCTCAGCCTGTTTTATGTTTCTGTCCCTCGAACTGGAGTCATTGGAATCACAAACGTGCATGTGAGATTTCAGCATCCTCTGTTTCCACACACGGTAGAATTGTTGGGTGTCAGGAATGAAACATGTGGCAGAGGGGAGCCAGGTCCTTTTTGGCTGTTCCCTAAGCCCTCTATCAAGTTGTGGGGTGGTGTTTGTCCCAGGGCACTTTGCTACCTCCATGGGCCTTTTCATATCTGTACGGGTCCTGGGGCTCTCTCTTCTTTACCCAGGGCAGTCTTCATGGATGAGTGGCAAGTCCTAGCCCGCAGCCCCCGCTAGCTGGACCACTCCATTAGTGGCTCAATACCCTGGCCTGTCACTGTGCCACACCTGGGCCCCTGGCTAGACCTCCGGGATCTTCCAGCCCAGCCACACCTCCCTTTCCAAGGCTGTACGTCAGGGTTGTCAGCATTGGCACTATGGCTGTTTGGGGTTGGGTCATTCTTTGTGGTGGGGCCACCCTGTGCATTGTAGCCATCCCCAGCCCCTACCTACCAGATGCCAGTAGCACCCTCAGTGCAACAATCAGAAATGTCTTCAGGCATTGCTCAGTGTCCCCTGCACGGCAAAATCACCCTTGCCACCAACCTCCGCACACCACAGAAGCCAGTAGGAACGTAAAAGAGCTTCCTCGGGCTGCTCCAGCAGTTGTCGCCAGGAGATCCTGGAGGCCCAAGGGCCCAGGTGGAAGCTGGTCTGCCAGCTTCCCCAGATCCACCAGAGCCGGATTGTGTGGAGGATTCTCAGATGGCTGGGCCCCGGCCTGTCCTCGGGAGCCCATGGTCTGTTGGGGAAGGCGGTCGCTCTAATCGTCAGAGAAGAGGTGACAGTGATGGGCATCCTAGATCCCACTGTGAGCCTGGGGAATCATTCATGGAAGTGGTGGCATTTCATTCCTTCAGTGTCTCCTGAGAGCCACTCATGGCTAAAGCACTGGACTCGGCCTTGGAGCTAGAAAACTGATGGAGACGTGGCCGGACACAGTGCACAGTCTACTGGGGGCATCAGGAGAGGAATGAGGAGGCTTTCCAAGTGGGGCAGGCAGGGAACGGCTGGGCGTTGCTGCTGTGCTGGGTGGAGGCACTGGGTCTGCAGGCCTAGGTTTGAGTCCAGCTCTCCTGCCAGCTGGCGCCCTCAGGTGACTCACTTCTCCCAGACCTCCATCTCCTCGTCTGTGTAAGGGGATCCTGAAGACAAAAGCAGAAGCGGCGCTCTGAAGTGCTTAGCTCTTTGCTGGCTGAGTTCATCCATCCTTTCCACAAGTATCGTTGAGCACCTACTGTGTGCTGAGCACCAGAGCCTCCGCAGGGAGCAAAACAAAGCCCCGCCTCCATGGAACTCATACTTTGATGGGAGGGGGCAAAAAAGCAGTTGCTCTGTGAGAACATGGCAGGTAATCTTGGGCACCTTTAGGAAACAAGCAGCATCAGAGGCTAGAAAGGGAAGTAGGGGGCCAGTTAGATGGGGGATGGGGGGCTGCTGCTGAAGGAACATTGCACAGAAAACTGAATGAGTCACGCCGCTGTGGGGTGGGGCTGGTCCCTAGCGGAGGAAGCGAGGCGCAGAGGTCCTGAGGCAGGAGCATGCGGCCTGGCATACCATGCAGCCGCTGGGAGGTCAGGGTGGCTGAGCAGAGTGAACACCCTCGGGAGGGAGGAGAGGAGAAGAGGCTGGGGCAGTGGCCAAGCCCAGATCACTCAGGCGCTTCCCCGGCTTCCCCGAGTGGTGCCCACTGGATGGCATATGAGCCCGGGGCCGGCGGGGCTGGTGGCAGGCCTGTCTGCAGAGGACTTGTCTAAGAAAGATGAAGATAGGGCACCCAAACTCTTCCCGCCCGGCTGGTTGGGGACATGGAGCAAACCAACCTTTGCTGCCTGCTGTGAGGTACCACGGGAGCAGATGGCGGCTTCTCGGAGGAGCTGGGGGCCGGGCTCCACGTTAATCCCATGGATGGCTTAAGGAGCTTCCCCGCCCCTAACCATGCGTGGTGCCTCTCTAAAGAAAAAATGCATTGTTTGTGAAGTGGATCAAGATGCGGCCTCCCAGAACACTGCCCTTTTGAGGAATGGCTTGTCTTGGAAGGGAAGAGAAAAGCCAAATAGAATGTTCATCTTTTATAAAGTTAAAAAAAAAAAAGCCAGCCTCCAAGGCTGAGAATCGATATTAATTTCATGGGCTTATGGGCAGTGAGATAAAGCAGGCTTCTGGCAGCCCTTTCCAGCCCTGTTGGATTTTACAGTCTTGAACTGTGAAGAGAGCGAATAAAGGTGTCAGGGGCTCTGCCTGTCTCCAGCTGTCTCGGGCCAGAGGAATCCAAATCCCCTGCCCTCCATCCTGGCCTGCAGCCCTCTGAAAGGCAGGGTGGATGGCAAGAAATGTTGGCTTGAGCCCTCAAAGACGGCTCACTACAAGGACAATTGGGATTGTGGCTTTAGGAGGGATTTACACAGCTTCTTGGGGGCAGATGAGGACAATGGGGTCACGCTGGAGAATAAGCTTGCTGTGGCTGCCTGGGACACGTCTGTGTGCCAGGGGGCAGCCGAGGGGATGACTGACTCTCGGTAACGACACCTGTTTTAGACCAGGGCCACTGGTCTGGGTACCATCGAGGTACTGCAAGAATGGGCTCAGCGTGCTGGGGACCGTCCTCTGTAACCTCGCCCTCCCCTGCATTTACTGAGCCCGTGCATGGCACTGCCCACACCAGCCAGCCTGGGCATCTTCCCTCTGTGTGATCCATTTCAGGGCCTGTTGCCTGGACTCCAGCTTGGTGGGGGGACCCACACAAGTGAACGCTGGCGCCTCCTTGCACTCACAGCCACTTTGAATTTCTCACTGGATGACTGCTGGGTTTCACCACCTCCGGGAGCACACAGGCCGCTCCGCCTGCCAGAAATCCTCACCCTGCTAGCTCTTACCCTGGTAGTTTCTTACTCTTCCTCAGTTCTCAGTGTCTACATCATGCCAGGAAAACCTTTCCGGACCTTCTCCCATCTCCCCTCCCTCGACCTGGTCCCAAGACCCAGCTGTGCCTAGCGCGTTGCAGGTCGCAGTTTAAGTTGAATGAATAAATGAGTGAAAAGCCAAGGGAGAACGGCTACCCGCCTGGGAGCTGGGTTGGAGGTGCAGCTGCGGCTAGCAGTGGAAGCCCCATCCAATGTCACCTCCTGTGCCTCCCTTATTCCTCCGTATCAGCGTGGGGCGCCTTCCCGGACTGCTCCCAGTCCTGACCCAGCTCCTGCGTCTTGAGTTCAGTGTGGCCCTGTCTGCTCTTCACCCTGCAGGCCGCCGGCTCTCCAGATCCTGTTGACCAACACCAAAGTCCCTCGCAGTACCAAGGCCCTCGTGGCTGGCGTCAGAAACAGGCTGCTCAAGGTGACTCCTGTTCCCTTCCTGGGCAGGTTTTGGGAAGGCCAGGACACAATTACATTTGGATTTTCGAGGTCTCCCTCTGGCTGCTGGGTTATGGGGGCGTGGTGGGCGGTGGTGGCCCTTGGGGAGGTGGTTTTGGCAGAACAGAAGGTATTGCCCTTGTTCATAGCCTGGCCAGGAGGCAGGACGGGGACTCTGAAAACGACAGTGGTCTGGCTCATTAGGCACCCTGACTTTGCAGCTGGGAAGGCAAAAAAGCCAGGCCCAGAAGGAGGGACGGTTTCCTCAGAGGATGGGTGAGGGCTCTGGGAACACCTCCACCCACTGCAGGGGCAGCTGCGCCACATCTGCCTGCCCCCAGCCTCACCAGCCCTTCTTTTCTTCTCCAGTTCCCAGAGATCGTGGCCCCACTCCTGACCTCGATAGATGCCATCTCCCTGGAGTGTGAGCGCGTGCTGGGAGAGATGGGGGAGGCCCCAGCCCTGGAGCAGTACCTCGTGCTGGAAGTAAGAGCCTGTCCGCAGGAACCGGGGTTGCTCAGTCCGCCACTGTCCAAGGCAGTGGCTCTGCAATCTGGCAGTGCTCAGAACCCCCCGGGAACCAGCACACAGGCCTCTGGCCTGTGCTCTCAGAAGCCCCCGGCCTAGGCCCAGGGCTCTGTGGGCCACACAGGTGTATCTTATTTTTAGGCGTCTTCCCAGATGATTTTGAGTAATTGGGAGAGTACAGGGAAGGAGGTCAGGGCCTGGCTCGTGCTAAGTACAGTGGACCGGCTTTGGGGTCATGTGTAGGGAGCGCCGGCCCACCTAGATGGATGGGGATGTGGCCGACACAGCGCTCTGCTGGTGCAGGGGCGACTTCCTCCTTGCTCTCTCTCCTGCCGTTGCCAACTACATGGGTGCATTCAACACCTACTTACCAACTGCCTGCTTCGGGTCAGACGGGTCCTAACTTTTTTTCATGATCGTAACCCCGTCTACCACCATTTGCATAATTCTAGCGTAGAGGTTATGACGTTGTACTTGGAGTGTGATCAGGCCTGTGTGTGAATCCCAGCTCCACTTCTGCTGGCCGTGTGGCCTCGCTGGAGTGTCTTAAGAACACTCAGATTAGACAGGCGCAGCGGACGTGTAGCATTAGCACTTTGGGAGGCCAAGGCAGGTGGATTGCTTGAGCCTAGAAGTTTGAGACCAGGCTGGGCAACATGGTGAAACGTTGTCTCTACAAAAAATACAAAAGTTAGCCAGACGTAGTGGTGCGTGCCAGTAGTCTGAGCTACTCGAGAGGCTGAGGCAGGAGGATCACTTGAGCCCGGGAGGTCAATCTGTAGCCTGGGTGACAGAGTAAGACCTTGTCTCACAAAAAAAAAGGCAGCTTGGAGTCTCATGGGTGACACATAAGCACAATGTCTGGTATGCCATGAGCTCAGGGAACCCAAGGGCCCAGCCTCCTCCTGGACACGGTCCATCTGGCCTGGTGTATATGGACTGACATTAGCCATCTGGCTGCCTTGCAGAGTAGAGGATCGGGCGGCCCCTAGCTGCCGTAGTCGGCTCTGCAGCAGCCGTCAGTGAAGGGACAGGAGGGGACCCCCTTGAGAGGGGTGTGTGGTCTCCGTGTCACCACAGTCCCTGCCTCTGTAGTCATTGCCTGGTGCCTCCCAGTCCCTTTGTGGGCATTCAAGTCTGTAGCCCCTGTGCTGAGTGGAAGCTGTCACTAAACCAAGCCTTTTACAAATGAGTTTTTCACTTGATCCTTACAACCACCTCCCTGTGAAGTAGGTGTCTTATCCCTGTTTTACAGATGTAAAAACTGAGGCCTGAAGAGGGACTTCCCCCAAGGTTATCCAGCTAGTGAGTGGCCGAACCAGGGCTCCAGCCGATGGACTGGTCTGTCACTTTACTCAACAGATCTGTCATGAGCACCTACTATGTGCCAGGGCAGAGCCGCCGCCGAATCCCTGTGTTTCTGCCCTCATTCCTTCCATCTTTGTCTTCCTGGCTCTCCATTCCTTCCATGTAGAAAGGAGGGAACGCAGTCCCCGTGAGTGGGAAATTAATAATGATAGAACACTGCCTAAAATACACCCTGTCGAGCCCCTGGAGAACGCCAGCGAACAGCACGTTGATTATACATTGTGTGTATTTTCAGTGTGGCAGCCGCTGAAATGTGCAGCGCTGCTCCTGGACAGCTTTGCACTCAAACCAGCGAACTGTTCTCCCATGTCACAGCCTGTCATCTGATCCTTGACAGATTTTGGATCAGAATGTGACAGGTGTCTGGAACCTGCCTCGGCAGCGTGACACCTGGCGCTCAGGCGCAGAAAGCGGCCCCCAGAAGTCTTCTCTCACATCCAGCCCGTTGGGCTGGTGAAAAGCACCCGGGGCTGCCACTGAGCCATCATGCCTGTCTGCTCATTTGTCAAAAGCGACGGGCTTGGCAGGGGGTGTGGTTTGAGGCAGGCTCGTGGGGAGGGCCACCCCAACCCTGCCTGACCAGCTGTCCCCACGCATCTGCAGAGATGCCTCAGTGATTGGCAACTCCTGGTGTCCAGGCAATCCAGGTGCCCCAAAGCAGAGCTTCACACAGAAGTGTGGGATGCCAGGGATGCTCTCAGAGGCAGGGTGGGCAGAGCTTCATGTTAGGCAGACCCGGCTTCCAGTGCCAGCTTGGTACCTTACTAGCTCAGTGATCCTAGGCAAGTCACTACTTCTCTGAGCCTCTGTTATCCCCTTTGTAAAGTGGGGATGAGGGTAACAGACCTGCGAAAAGGTAACAGACCTGTGAAAATACTAACAGCACATACCTCTAATAGCCAGGCATTGAACAGAAAACTCACCTTGTTTCATCCTCAGGGCAAGGAAGCAGATACTATTTTTTTTTTCCTTTTTTTTGAGACAGAGTCATCTTGCTCTGTTGCCCAGGCTGGAGTGCAGTGGCGCGATCTCAGCTCATCGCATCCTCCACCTCCCAGGTTCAAATGATTCTCGTGTCTCAGCCTCCTTAGTAGCTGGGATTACGAGTGCGTGCCAGCATACCTGGCTAATTTTTGTATGTTTAGTAGAGATAGTGTTTTGCCATGTTGGCCAGGCTGATCTTGAACTTCTGACCTCAAGTGATCCACCTGCCTTGGCCTCCCAAAGTGCTGGGATTACAGGCGTGAGCCACCACACCCTGCTGAGGCAGATACTCCTATGACCCCAATTTATGAGCAGGAGACAGACCCAGCGCAGAAGACCTCATCCAAGGACACACGACCAAGAAGGGGCAGAGCCGAAACTTGAACACAGGTCTCCTTAACTCCAAACCCTGTGGTTTTTACTTCCTGATGGCTGGAACCATCCTTAGAGCCCCAGCACGTTGTGGGCGTTTGGTAAATGGAATCTAGATACTCGGTGCCTGGGTGGTAGAAGCTGTGAGTTTTATTTTTTCATCCACATGCATCTTGTTGGATTCTTGCAGAGCAGGAAGTTTATCCTGCATTATTGAAGAAACCCACACAAACCGCTGTTTGCCCACTTACAGACTTGCTGGAGTTACAGCTAGTTCTTACTCTGAAACCAGACCCCGAGGCAGCTGTAGGGAGGCATATGGAGACATTTTCTCTTGAAAATGACAGAAATCCATTTCAACCAGGCTTTTGCAGAAAAGGAATACATTGGCTGAGAAGCCAATATTGACCGAGAAGACCAGAGGTAAATGGCTTCAGGTATAGTTTGATCCAGGGGCTGAAATAATGTGGTCGGGAATCTGTCCATCTTCTACGTAACATCTGACCATGAGGCAAGACAGATCATCCTGGCGGCTTGTATCTGAAGTTAATGATTTTAGCAGCTGTAGTGGAAAGGGGCAGAGGAAACCCTGGGAGGGCCATGATTGGCCCAGCATGGCCCACATGCCCATCCCTGATCAGTCACCAGTGCCAGAGGCTTCTGTGACCAGCCCCAGGATATGTGCTCACCACTATGGTGAAGGTTATGCTCAGCTCTACCCAAGCTCCATGAGAAATGCTGCAGGGGAGGATTCTTTTACAAGTGGAGAGGGCCAGCGTACCTGCTAGGCAAAGCCATTAGTTGTCCCCAGCCAACAACTGTCAGATGGACGAGGCAGGCACAGGGGTGGGCATGGTACCTCGGCCTCAGGCAGGCCAAGTGGGAACAGATGGAACCTTCTCCCCTAGGAGCTCATTGACATGAACCAGCACCATCTGAATGCCCTCGGCGTGGGCCACGTCTCTCTGGACCAGCTCTGCCAGGTGACCAGGGCCCACGGACTGCACAGCAAGCTGACTGGTGCAGGTGGCGGTGGCTGTGGCATCACACTCCTCAAGCCAGGTATACCTGGGGCTGGGTGGGCCAGGCTGCCAGCCTGGGCTCGTAAAAGGGGTCCACCTGGAGAATTCCCTTGAAAGGAAAAAGAGGCCTGGAAACATGTCAGCTCTGCTGCGTGGCCTTAGCAAGTTAATTAACCTCTCTGTGTCTTCGTTTCCTCCTTGGTAAAATAAGGATGAGAGTCTCTAGCTTGCAAGTTCATTGCCCAGATTCAAGGACGAAAGTGTACCTAGAGAGCCTGGTGCAGGGCTGGGCTGTGGCCGGGGCTCTTGTCATCAGGGTTGTCCCCACAAGCTTGGGGAGTAACCAGGGCATTGGCACTCTCCATGTCTGCCTCACCCTGCCCCACTTGCACCCCTTGACATGGTCAGGATGAGGTTGATCTTGTTACAGAACAAAGGGGTTTCCTTCCCATTCATCTGGGAAAGAGCAAGACCGAGTAATGGGCTTGGCTTAGGAAGCCACCTGTGCAGGGGGCCTGGCAAGGGGCTTCCACTGGTGTCTAACCACCTGACACCTACCGCTGTCCTCAGGCTCATTCCTGGCCTACAGTAGGCACTAAACGTTCCCACCTGCCTCTGTTTCCCTCCGTGTTCCTTGTCCCTTACTGCTCTTTTTCTTTCCCTTCCCATCTTTATCTCCTCTCTGTTCTTCATCCCTCCTTTCCTCTCTGCTTTGCACTGAGCCCCCTTGGCCTCCAGCCATCCCCTCCCCCCAGTGGTGGCTAAAGGCCTCAGGAGGTGGCCACATCCTCACTCCAGCAGACCCCTACTGTTGGTTCCTAGTTCAGCGCCCATGACGATGGTGGGACTTGACATTTCTGGAGTGTGCCTGCTGTACCAGGTGTTGTGCCAGGCACTTTACGTGCATTATTTCCTGTAAGCCTCCCTGGGGTCTGCAGGGGTTGGCATTAGCCGCATTCCCAGATGAGGAGACTGAGACTGACAGAGGGGATGTCACTCATCTGAGGTCACACGACCAGCACAAGGCAAGGCCAAGTCCTTGTGCCTTTACAGCCCATGTTTTTAAGTCTTGCTCCCCAAACCCCTGGGGCGTGCGAGGCTGGGCATTTCAGTGCACGGAGGGGCTGCAGGTAGTCTCTGGGCCTCATGGGCCTGTTGGCTCAGGTGGGGTCACAGCCAGGAAGGCACAGCAGGAAGACCCGGGCATTTGCCTTGATTACGACGAGCCAAGGGAGCAGAGTTGTCAAGGGTGACCTGCTTTCCCTCCCCACAGGGCTGGAGCAGCCAGAGGTGGAGGCCACGAAGCAGGCCCTGACCAACTGTGGCTTTGACTGCTGGGAAACCAGCATCGGTGCCCCCGGTGTCTCCGTCCACTCAGCCACCTCTCTGGACAGCCGAGTCCGGCAGGCCCTGGATGGCCTCTGAGAGGAGCCGCAACATTGCAGCCCCACCCAGAGGCCCCTTTCTGGAGTATTCTGGGGGCTGCAGCTCGCCCCTGTACGGCCAGCAGGCACCCAGCTCCTGACACTGCCGGAGGGGCCCCAGCCGCTCGCGATGCCTTTCCTGCGGAGCTCTGCAGGCCATCGGTGGGACCTAGGGAGGCATGGTCTGTGCTCTGCATCATCTGGAGCCAGCCAAGCAGGGGCCCAGGAGGATCCTCTGAGGCTCCAGACCTGAGACGAGAGGGCTGCTTCCCCAGGCTCCCACAGTCCCATCTGCCTCGGGCCCGCGCCTTGGCCTGCGATCTTGCTGGCCGCCTGGGTCAGGTGCTCCGATGCTCTGATGCTGGGGCCGGGTTCCGAAAGCAATGAAGCCAGTGCCTTCTCTCTCCCTCAGCAGGAACTGCCCCGTCTCTCAGGGCCAGGTCCCTCCCTTCTCCAGGAAGCCTTCCCTTACCTCTTGTCCCTCCCTCCCAGAGCACCTGCTGTGTGGCTGGCTCATTCAGCACTTGGTGTGGCCTTCCCTTCTACCTGGCGGGGCGGGGCGGGGCAGGGCTCCCCCAGGGGCTGTCCAGGAGGCAGCAGCCTGGTTAAATAAGGCAGGGTCAATGTGCAGTTTCTTCCAATCTGTACCTGAGAGGTTTGCAAAAAAGATGGCAAAGGGAAAATAAAAAGATTTTGTGTCAACCACAGACTGGGAGGCTCCAGGCCACCAGCACCCTCCTCCTCTGTCCCTGTCCCCTCTCCAGCTGTTTCCTTCATGGAGCTCTTCAGCAATGGAGGGAAATAAGGGTTTGGGGTCACTTTGTTGTGTGTCTTGGGGATGAGGTGGCTTTTCCCAGGTGGCCCTTGCTGGACAGGGACCTGGACACGTCTGCCAGGACGAGGCTCTCAGTCCATCGGCACAACGCCAGGCTGCTTCTCAGAGGGAGAAGCTGAGCTTCCTAGCTCCAGAATCACAAGCACCCACAAGTGCACAGACCTGTGTAAGGCAGGAAAGCAGAACTCGCCTCGCTCCTGGGCACGCCTTCCTTTCTGAAATTAACTGGCCAGGTAGAGAAAACAGACTCACGTGTGCATAGCCCGGGTGCCTGACACTCCCTTCCCCCAACCCCCACCGGCCCTATTTGAACTTTATATTGCAGTCAGCTTGGTGCTTTCCAAAATGATAGCATCCATCAGGAAACCCTTGTAGTTGGCGCCTTGCCAGCCAGACTCTTTGGGAGCCACGGATCTGCAAAGAGGCCGAGTGGGAAGACGTGGAAAGGTGGAGGTCGCCGCAGGGATTTCAGGATGTGGTTAAAGCGACTCGGTGCGCGTCTGCCCTTGGCCACTAGGGGGCAGCTGGCGCCCTTCCCTGCTGTTGTCTTCCTGGGGAGGGTAATGAGCAGGGGCGGAGCTCCACCCGGACGCCAGGCTTGGGCCGTGCCTGGGGTCACCGCTGGGAACGTGAGAGTGAAGGGAGGGCGCCTGCCCCAGCTTAACTTGAAGAAATGGCCCCAGCATCATTGATGGCTGTTCCCTGCCCCTTCCCCTGAAAACGCAACGCTTAAAGCAGTAGTGTTAATACTGAGCGCGCACCGTGTGCTAGGCGTGCCCATGCATCACCCCTTCTCATCTCTGCCCCGTCTCACGGTCACTGCTAGTCTCATCCCCGTTTTACAGACCAGGAAACCAAAGCTCAGAGAGATCGAGCCACTTCTCCAAGGCCACACAGCTCTTCAGCATCTGAGGCCAGTTCAAACTGACTGCAGAGCCTGCTCTCAGCCCCAGCATGTGTCTGCTGGGCGGGGTCTGCATGCGGCCTCACCACGATTTTTCAGCCTTCTGTGCTCAGGCTCGTTTTTCTGGATTCGGTTGTACTTCCCCCGGGGTGGGTCCCGTTCCCGCATGTGTTGACTGAGCATCCAGGCCAGACGCTGCTGTGTCCTCAGTGATGACGCCCGCTGACAGCCAGGCTCCAGCCTGTGGGAGGGGGGCCTGGGAGCCTCCCCAGGCTTCCATAGATGCCTGCGGCAGCTGTGGAATGGGTGCAGGGGACAGAGGCTGAGACCCTCTCTCATTCCCTGGGGACAGGATGTCACTCCTGGGGGGGAGGCCAACTCAGTGCTCTTGCTCCAGTGAAGCAGAGCCAGTGCGCCTTGGTCAGAGCAGTTCAACCCCGCCGCCACTGCAGCCACCCTGTGGGCCTGGTGTCACGCTCCTGGCTGCCTTGTAGACAGTTGGCGCGTACGGCTGTCACCCGTTCTCTATTGCCTACTGCAGTGGTCCTCTCGGCTGCACCTTGGAGCCACCTGGGGAGCTTCTAAAAGGCCCACGAATTCCTGGCCCCACTTTAACTCAGATATTCTGAGTTAATCTGTCTCAGCGGTATCTTTTTTAAAAGATAGCTTTTGAAAGCTCTCAGGTGATTCTAAAGTGTGACCTAGCAGGGCATTGTGGTGCATACCTGTAGTCCCAGCTACGCAGGACGCTGAGGCGGGAGGATCGCCTGAGCCCAGGAGCTGGAGGCCACAGTGAGCTATGATGGTGCCACTGCACTCCAGCCTGGGTGACAGAGTGAGACCTCGTCTCTAAAAGATGATATTTTTAAAAATAATAAAATGCAGCCAGGGCTGAAGATGCCAAACCAGATGACCCCACGGTCATCTCTGCACGCCATTGTGGTGGCTGAGCACTTCAGCCCTGCCCACATCCTGGCCATGTGAACTTGGGCGAGACAGCTTACCTCTGGAGGCCACCTCATCGGGAAAGTGGGACTCATAGTACCCACCTCATGGAGGTTTCATGGGGATCGAGCGAGAAAATACACAGAAGGTCCTTGACACAATGCCTGGCGCATGGTAAGTGCTCCGTAAATACTCATGATTAGAACTGTCTTATGCTGAAAAACAAGTGTGTCCCCCAGAGCCCCCAAACCTCAGAATAGTGCACAGAGCTGGCTCAAGGCACCCTAGCAAGATGGTCCAAAGCCCCGAGGTTGAAATCCCTTGGGTCGATGTTGGAGAAGCGTACCTGATGCCCACCAGTTTTCCCACCCCCCTGCTTCCTCCAGAGAGGCAGTCACATAGCACCGGTGCCCTCTTTGCCAGGGGAGCAGCAGTGCTGTTCAAGTCATTCGCTGGAGCCGCTCCCAGCCTCTGCAGCCTGAAGTTCTCCGCGAATTTCCCTGGTTCTGGCAAGGGTCTTGCATTGGGAGGCAGGCTGGAAATAGTGTGAGTTCTCCCAGAGAGAGGAGCTGCTGTGGTTGCACTGATGTCGTTTCTGTCAGTGAGGAGTCCTTTGGTTTTTTTTTTTTTTTTTGAGACAGTCTTACTCTGTCACCCAGGCTGGAGTGCAGTGTCATGATCTTGGCTCGGTGCAACCTCCATCTCCCAGGTTCAAGTAATTCTCCCACTTCAGCCTCCTGAGTAACTGGGATTACAGGAGCCCGCCACCATGCTCGGCTAATTTTTGTATTTTTAATGGAGACGGGGTTTCTGCCACGTTGGCCAGGCTGGTCTCAAACTCCTGACCTCAGAAGATCAACCCACCTCGGCTTCCTAAAGTGCTGGGATTACAGGTGTGATCTATTACACCCGGCCTGGTGAGGAGCCTTTCCTCACCAAGAACGTTTCTGTGGCAGCTAGCGGCCAGTCGCGTTGGTGGCTGGCTCCAGGTCAGCAGGCGCGGTGGGGGGGCCAGCCCTGCCATTTGCTCATGCTTGGTCCATCAGCTGCTTTCCCTCCAGGGCTGTCTTCGCCCTCATTTCCTCCACTAGTGCTCTTCAGAGGACGCCTGGCTTAGTGGCCCGCACCTCGCAGCTGTCTCCTTCCCCAGCCCTTCCTGGTTTCCAGCTAATTTTGGATAAATTCTTTGGTTGTCTCTTAGCACCTGCTGTCTTCTAGGAAGGGGCAGAGAGCTGGGTTTGAGGCCAGGCATCCTGGTTGCAGAGTCTGAGCTCTTTAGTTTTCAAATTATAAGATTTTTACTATTACAAAAACAGTATATATACACTATAGAAAAAATACAGATGAGCAGAAATAACGTCAGAGCACTGTGTTTTTACCATGCAGAGATTACACCATTAACAGCTGCCACCTTTCCCTGTGTGTGTGTGTGTGTGTCTACGTCTACGTGTGTACATGCTATTTGATCAAGTGAGATCATTCTGCACATGCTATTTTATTACCTGCTTTTTTGGTTTCCGATCACCTGTGTCATATCTCTTCATCTCTAATGCCCAGGCCTTAGTCACATTTCCTCCAGTTAGCCCCAGGTGTCCAGCACCCTGCCTAATGCCACACATACAGCCCTGGCTTCTCTTTTAATCTAGCACAGCAGCCCTGCATACACACACACACACACACACACACACACACACACACACGTTCACACCTTTTTTCCTCCATTATATGACTTGCTGAAGAGTCCCAGCTAGTCATCCTCTGGAATGCCCTGTCTTCTACACTGGTCATGTAACATGCCAGGCAGGTGCTAAACCCCTCGGGCATCATTCCACTGAATTCCCACCTCAACCCTGCAGTGCAGGCACAACACAACCACAATTCCTTGTCCGAAATCCTGGGGCCAGATGTGACGTGGAATGGAGGATTTTGCAGGTTCTAGGGAGAGACCCCCTGGCCCATGGTTCATCCCGCGTGGCATCTGGGGCAGCACCACCCACCCCCTACTCTAGAAACAGGTACGAACAGTCCCACTAAGTGGAGCAGAGGCCATAAATAATAGCCGAACCTCTGTGGCACTGCCCTTTTTATTTTTTTAATGAGACAGGGTCTTGCTCTGTTGCCCAGGCTGGAGTGCAGTGGTGAGATCACAGCTCACTGCAGCCTCAACCTCCCAAGCTCCAGCAAGCCTCCCACCTCAGCCTCCCAAGTAGCTGAGACCACAGGCACGTGCCAACACACCCTGACACTTTTTCTACTTTTTGTAGAGATGGGGTTTTGCTAGGTTGCCCAGGCTGGTTTCCAACCCCTGGGCTCAAGCAGTCCTCCCGCCTCAGCCTCCCAAGGTGCTGGGATTACAGGTATGAGCCATCATGCCCCACCTGCTGCTCTTGCTGACACATGAATTTTGATGCCAAGGTCCTCGGTTTCAGAGTGTCTTGGGTTGTGGGCCTGAATTATTTTCCCATTTTTTAGAGAAGCCGACAGATGCTCTCAGACAGGCTCAGTGACTCACCCAAGGGAGTTTGCTCTGGTTTGAACCCTGTCAGTTTGGCTGGACATGACCTCCTACTCTGCAGGGTCTGACCAGAGCCCATCTTTGTCACTTGGGGTGAGAGGGCTCTGTGCTGGCAAGTGGGGGCTGAGACGCTGTCCTGCCTGGTACAGGAGAAGGGCAAGGGCCCCCGGGTCCCAGGTACACTGGCTGACGCTATTAAGTCAAACCAGAATTTTCTGTCTTTTTTTTTCACCATAAACCTTGTAACGTGACAAACGAGGCTGCAGAAAAATGGCCAAGTGACAGGCTGTGACTAAAGCTTCTGGCCTCTCTTGGGGTTTCTATGTCCTCCCCAAAACCAGGGCAGCAATGAGGGGACCACAGTCCGAGGGAGGGAGAGGGGCTCCCTCTCCTCCCAGACCACCCCCTGCCTCCCTCCAGACCTAGGGAGGGCATAGGGGAGGCCTGAGTGCATTGATTCTCGCCATGCTCGGGCTTACAGAGCAGGGAGCCTCTTGCACATA